AGACTTTCATTCAAGAATGTGCCCCTCACACCCACCACGGAGCCACCATTAGAGGCAGGACACCCAACAAGAGACATGTTGCCAATCTTGCCGGGCCCCCCTAGGGGTGTGTCGTGAGTATACGCCCCACAAACGGTACCTTAAGAACCGTCAGTTCGTTAAGATCGCGTTCAGTGACAAAAGGAGGATTAACAATAAAAAGGGTCCCCTCGCTCCAGACGTTGGGTACTACAGTTCTACGGGTGCAAGAGTATGCCTCCCCAAACACCTGGGCGTCAAAACAAAAGAAGGCCAAAAGAATGATTAAAACAGGCACAAGGTCAGCGGGAAATGACAATTATAAAGGAGAAGATGAGGGGAGAAAAATGAAACAAATGCAAAGGTTGTCCAGCAAAATTGGTGAGGATGGCAGCAGGCGTATAAGGCCACAAAAGGACAGAGGACTGTCCTATGGAGCATCACATTCTGGCAGCCGCCCACTAAGCCCCCCCACGACAACGAGCCGGACAGGGAGGGGGGGCTTTAATGCAATTTGCCTTGAATAATGTCCATATGTATATACTGTAGTATTTTACAATACCTTTTAAATATTACACAGGAAATACCTTTTTATTTCAGGAAATGGTATTTATATTATGGTTGAAATTAAATATTTGTAAATTATATTTCATGAGGTACTTGTTGAGCAAAATAATAATAATAATATTTTATTTAGGAAAAGTACATACAGAGATGCAGAGTTACAAACATTCTGATTGATTTATTGATAGAGTTAGTACATACAATACCTAAAGCCACTAGTACGCATAGCGTTTCGGGCAAAATATAAAAGTTTATAATTATAGTTCTATCAAAATAATAGTTTTCATATTATTGTACATTTAGATTAGAGTCTGAATACTGGGAAGTCCTTAGGGCTATTGGTCATGCTTTTCTGCTGGTTGCAAATTCGCAAACACTGGGCAATTATCTGAAATAAAATGAGAAAAAGTATCAATAAATTATGCATATATGACAAGCCTGTAGACCGCACTCTTTGTAAGCCTTTATGTGGTATGTTACATATATTTATTACTATGTACTATACTGGTAACCTAACAGCATGAGTTAATTATTTGCTGGTTGGCTATATATATATATATATATATATATATATATATATATATATATATATATATATATATATATATATATATATATATATGTATATATATATATATATATATATATATATATATATATATATATATATATATATATATATATATATATATATATATATATATATATAATCTTTGGACAACACCCACCAGTGGGACTCGAACCCAGAAAGCACAACTACCTTCCAGTAGCTGGCATAACTAGTATGCTTTAACCCACTACGCCATCAGACCTTACAAAAGAAGTAGATAGTTCGAGATATATATCTCAAACATCTCTACCTCCCGAAGGCACCAGATGAGTGAGGGGTCAGTCTGCATTTTTCGTCAAGCCACTGTCAATGTGAGAGAACTCGTGTCCACCTTATAAGCCTGTACTTGCATAAACCACAAGTGAAGATAAACAATCTTTGGACAACACCCACCAGTGGGACTCGAACCCAGAAAGCACAACTACCTTCCAGTAGCTGGCATAACTAGTATGCTTTAACCCACTACGCCATCAGACCTTACAAAAGAAGTAGATAGTTCGAGATATATATCTCAAACATCACTACCTCCCGAAGGCACCAGATGAGTGAGGGGTCAGTCTGCATTTTTCGTCAAGCCACTGTCAATGTGAGAGAACTCGTGAAGATACCTCCCATATCACGGGAGGTAGAGATGTTTGAGATATATATCTCGAACTATCTACTTCTTTTGTAAGGTCTGATGGCGTAGTGGGTTAAAGCATACTAGTTATGCCAGCTACTGGAAGGTAGTTGTGCTTTCTGGGTTCGAGTCCCACTGGTGGGTGTTGTCCAAAGATTGTTTATCTTCACTTGTGGTTTATGCAAGTATAGGCTTATAAGCTGGACACGAGTTCTCTCACATTGACAGTGGCTTGACGAAAAATGCAGACTGACCCCTCACTCATCTGGTGCCTTCGGGAGGTAGAGATGTTTGAGATATATATCTCGAACTATCTACTTCTTTTGTAAGGTCTGATGGCGTAGTGGGTTAAAGCATACTAGTTATGCCAGCTACTGGAAGGTAGTTGTGCTTTCTGGGTTCGAGTCCCACTGGTGGGTGTTGTCCAAAGATTGTTTATCTTCACTTGTGGTTTATGCAAGTATAGGCTTATAAGCTGGACACGAGTTCTCTCACATTGACAGTGGCTTGACGAAAAATGCAGACTGACCCCTCACTCATCTGGTGCCTTCGGGAGGTAGAGATGTTTGAGATATATATCTCGAACTATCTACTTCTTTTGTAAGGTCTGATGGCGTAGTGGGTTAAAGCATACTAGTTATGCCAGCTACTGGAAGGTAGTTGTGCTTTCTGGGTTCGAGTCCCACTGGTGGGTGTTGTCCAAAGATTGTTTATCTTCACTTGTGGTTTATGCAAGTATAGGCTTATAAGCTGGACACGAGTTCTCTCACATTGACAGTGGCTTGACGAAAAATGCAGACTGACCCCTCACTCATCTGGTGCCTTCGGGAGGTAGAGATGTTTGAGATATATATCTCGAACTATCTACTTCTTTTGTAAGGTCTGATGGCGTAGTGGGTTAAAGCATACTAGTTATGCCAGCTACTGGAAGGTAGTTGTGCTTTCTGGGTTCGAGTCCCACTGGTGGGTGTTGTCCAAAGATTGTTTATCTTCACTTGTGGTTTATGCAAGTATAGGCTTATAAGCTGGACACGAGTTCTCTCACATTGACAGTGGCTTGACGAAAAATGCAGACTGACCCCTCACTCATCTGGTGCCTTCGGGAGGTAGAGATGTTTGAGATATATATCTCGAACTATCTACTTCTTTTGTAAGGTCTGATGGCGTAGTGGGTTAAAGCATACTAGTTATGCCAGCTACTGGAAGGTAGTTGTGCTTTCTGGGTTCGAGTCCCACTGGTGGGTGTTGTCCAAAGATTGTTTATCTTCACTTGTGGTTTATGCAAGTATAGGCTTATAAGCTGGACACGAGTTCTCTCACATTGACAGTGGCTTGACGAAAAATGCAGACTGACCCCTCACTCATCTGGTGCCTTCGGGAGGTAGAGATGTTTGAGATATATATCTCGAACTATCTACTTCTTTTGTAAGGTCTGATGGCGTAGTGGGTTAAAGCATACTAGTTATGCCAGCTACTGGAAGGTAGTTGTGCTTTCTGGGTTCGAGTCCCACTGGTGGGTGTTGTCCAAAGATTGTTTATCTTCACTTGTGGTTTATGCAAGTATAGGCTTATAAGCTGGACACGAGTTCTCTCACATTGACAGTGGCTTGACGAAAAATGCAGACTGACCCCTCACTCATCTGGTGCCTTCGGGAGGTAGAGATGTTTGAGATATATATCTCGAACTATCTACTTCTTTTGTAAGGTCTGATGGCGTAGTGGGTTAAAGCATACTAGTTATGCCAGCTACTGGAAGGTAGTTGTGCTTTCTGGGTTCGAGTCCCACTGGTGGGTGTTGTCCAAAGATTGTTTATCTTCACTTGTGGTTTATGCAAGTATAGGCTTATAAGCTGGACACGAGTTCTCTCACATTGACAGTGGCTTGACGAAAAATGCAGACTGACCCCTCACTCATCTGGTGCCTTCGGGAGGTAGAGATGTTTGAGATATATATCTCGAACTATCTACTTCTTTTGTAAGGTCTGATGGCGTAGTGGGTTAAAGCATACTAGTTATGCCAGCTACTGGAAGGTAGTTGTGCTTTCTGGGTTCGAGTCCCACTGGTGGGTGTTGTCCAAAGATTGTTTATCTTCACTTGTGGTTTATGCAAGTATAGGCTTATATATATATATATATATATATATATATATATATATATATATATATATATATATATATATATATATATATATATATATATATATATATATTAAAATACAGATATATACACACACAGGGGCCTGGTAGCCTGGTGGATAGTGCGCAGGACTCGTAATTCTGTGGCGCGGGTTCGATTCCCGCACCAGGCAGAAACAAATGGGCAAAAGTTTCTTTCACCCTGAATGCCCCGGTTACCTAGCAGTAAATAGGTACCTGGGAGTTAGTCAGCTGTCACGGGCTGCTTTCTGGGGTGTGTGTGTGTGTGGTATGGGAAAAAAAAAGTAGTTAGTAAACAGTTGATTGACAGTTGAGAGGCGGGCCGAAAGAGCAAAGCTCAACCCCCGCAAACATGACTAGATGAATGCAACTAGGTGAATACACATACTAAAAGAAAAGGGGTGGTAGGAGAAGAAAATATCCAAGTGTTTAGTGAAGATCCACAAGGCCTTCTCTGAGTACATTATTTTCTTCTCCGAGGCTATGGTTCACTACACTTGCACCAGAAGTGGTACCCCTTTTAGGTTTAAAATACATTATAATAAAACCCGCCCTTTCAAAACCACGCCCTTCCAAAAATACATTATAATAAAACCACTCGCCCTTCGGGGCAAAACTTAAAAAAAAAAAAAAAAATTATAATAAAATGTTGAGAGAATTTATTTAACAATGAGATTATATACGAAGAGAGTATATTACACTGACATCCAACTCAGGATCCCAAAGTAATTACTGTAATTTATTGAAAATTTAAGCCTTGGTAAATTATGAAAATATAATAAATGACAGATCATACCAATAATACTGGTACAGTATGTTGGTTACATTTTTTTTTTAGTATGTTCCCTTTTGGATGGGGGGGGGGGTCAGGTTTGGTTCTGGTCTCAAGTGGGCCAATATGTCCTATGGTAAAGAAAACAAATGACTCCTAAATCTCTTTTTCAATTAATATAAATGTCAACTGCAGTCCACTTAATGGCAATATTATGTTAGAAGTTTTACTTATTTATATTTAAGCCATTACCACAATGGAAAAATGTACTGTACCTTCCTGGTGTCTGAAGGAATGATAATGCCATCAATGAGGCCTCGTGAAGCCAGGTACCAGGAGCTGTTTACAGGGAAGTTGAATGCTGACCGAGGTTTATGTTGCTTATTTACCTGTGGAGAACGTAACTGCTAGAAAAACGGATGCAATGTGGAGGTCATAAAAGTCTTAGAACATTCCAAATGAGAATAAAAATAAAGAGTTGGTTATAATAACAAGCCACTTTCAGTGTTTTTCCCCTTGGTAGCTCCACTTGGCTTATATCACCAGAGCATGAGAGACATTTTAGGTATGTCAGGTTCTTGTGACAGTTTTGATTCACCAGAAGCAAGCACCATATCATAACTTTTCCACTCATTGGAGATGGGAGTATGTGGGAATCAAAGATCAATTCAATTAGAAGATGGGACAGAAATGACATGAAACTTTATTTAATAAAAACCAGCATTCAATATAACAACATGCGTCTTTCTGATGAGTCCTTCAGTGGGTCCCTGAAGTTAACTGCCTGGATAGCTCAACACATATCATGTCACACATGGCTCTTGTGAGTCATAAAAGTGCCTACTGAAGACCAGATACCCAAACCTGGTATCTTCAGAGAGGCACAAGAAGCAGGGGGTGTTAAACCACCCGAATCAAGAGAATAAGCCACCAGAAAGGTAAGTGAAACCAAACAGAAGATAGCAAAGAAAATATGAACAACTCTGACAACTAGGAACATCATAGCATTCGCCTGCTAGCTACATCCCTACCACCAGGTGGAAGCCCTTGGAACTCCTGGGGTCAAGCCATCATTTAACACCAGGCATTCGACCGACAAATAACGCAAATAACGGCGGAGAGCCGCAACCGGATACAAAACCTGATGCACCCTCGGCCGAACCAACCAAGCATCAACAACCCAGGGACCCCTCCGGAACGCAGCAGTCTCATTCTTCGCCAGAAAAGGAGAAGACTGCAGACGAACAAACCGATCACCCCGACCGAAGGAGCAGAAACCTCTGTGCCGGAGGAGAGCATGAAGCTCACCCACCTGACCCCCAGAGGCCAATGCCAACAGGAAAAGAGCCTTCGAAAAACAATCCGGAACCGAAGGAGCCACAACAAAACGAGGAGAAGAAAGAAAAGAGAGCACTTTGTTCAACGACCAGGACGGCTCAGGCAGCGCATGTGCAGGCCGGAGGTGAAACAATACCCGAGACAACATGTGAAACGGCGCATACGTGACATCAATACTGCAAGCAAGTTGAAGTGTCTCCGCTAGCGCCGCGCGATAAGAGGTGACAGAGTTAGGCATAAGAAGACGGTCCTGGAACAACCAAGAGAGAAAGGACAACTCCACCGTAACAGAAAGTGAAGTACAACGATGAAGACGTAAGAAGAACTGGAAGGACCGCCAGGAAACTTCATACTGCCGCCGAGATGAAGCCCACAGATGGAACACTAATAAGGAAGCCACCTGATCACCATAGAGATGAAGATAAATTCAAGTCAAAAATACCATACGCGAAGACTCGAGGAGAAGATCGAACCATCCACGTGACATACCAGTCCGATGTATGTCACGGACTGGTATGAAAAACCTCCGGGTTCGGACACCGAGCAAGCAGCACCTGAAACCACAGCTGGGCCGGTCGCCACGAAGCCAAGAGGACAACTCTCCCCTGGTAAGTTTCTAAGCGAGTCAGGACCTGGAGCAACAGCTGAACCTGGGGAAAGAGGTACAGGAACCCCCACCTCAACCAGTCCAGCCGAAAGGTGTCAACCCCGACGGCCTCGCAGTCGGGAAAGGGCGCCACATAAAGGGGAAGGTGCCGCCTCGGGGCGTCTGAACGTCTGGCAAAGCCAACAGAAGGAGTCGGCGTCGACTGTCCATTCCGTGGAGAGGGGAACGAAACGAGACAGGCCATCGGCCAAGACGTTGGATACTTCCCGCACGTGAACTGTCAGGAGAGCCAAACCCTGAGAACTCAGCAGACGAGTTGCCCGAAGCGACCAGCGCCAAAGAGCATATGACACCGCATCGAACCCCCCGGTTCAGACAATGAACCATCGGGGAGCAGTCCAAATGGAGCCAGATCGTCGACCCGCAGGCGACTCGAATCCTCCGAAGAGCAAACTACACTGCCGCAAACTTCCACACAGTGCTGTGGGCTCGACGGAAGAATGGAACCCACCGACCCTGCCCAGCCTGGTGAGTACTGGTCACAAAGCCTCAGCAGAAAGACAATGCGTCCGCGAACACATCAAGGGAGGGCTCGGGTAGGCGCCAAGGCACTGAACCCCGAAAAACCCGAAGAGGAAGCCGATGACGCAGCAACCGATGCAAAGCCCCCGGGGTCCGAACCCAGCAATCGCAAGAGAGGCGGAAGGGACGTCCCCGAAGGAACCAGAACAGCCGACGAAGCCAAACCTGACCCGGCGGGTAGACCAGTATCGCGAAGTTCAAGCTCCCGCACAGACCCTCGAGCAACCACTGGGTGACCCAGGAGCCCCCCAGAAACAGGCACAAGTGGGAACGCAGCCACAGAAGAGACTCTGGAGGAAGAGACAAGGAAGCGGTCCGAGAGTCCCACACAAGGTCCAGCCAGGTCCGATCCTGGGAGGGAACCAGAGGGACTTCCTCCACTTCACCAAGAACCCGAACCTGGCGAGCTGAGAAAGAGCCAGATCCCTGGCTAGCAGACAAGCGGACTGGCTGGGAGCCCAAACCAGCCAGTCGTCGAGGTAGGCCAACACCCGAATACCTAACAGACGCAGACGGGTCACCACAACTGTGTGAGGCGCGTAAAAACGTGAGGTGCCAGGTTCAAACCGAACAGAAGACAACGAAAGTGGTAAGCACGAAGCCCTACAAAAAAACCGAGCCAGTCCCTGAACCCCAGATGAATCAGGACGTGCCAATAAGCGTCCCGGAGGTCCAAGGACACCATCCAAGCGCCCGGCTCCAAGAGCCGAAAAGTAGGCCGAGCCACCAGTAGGAGCCGAACCTGGGACAGCGTAGTCATCTGAAAGGAAGGGCAATGAACCCAAGGGTTCAGACAGAACAAGTCCAGAATGAACCGCAGGTCCGCGCAGTCCCGTTTCGGGACTGGAAACAGATGGTAAACCCATCTGGGGGACGTCGTCGTTTCAACCACACCCAAGCGAACCCACTCCAAGATGACCTGACAGAGCGCAGGGAAAGAAGCCTGCCCCGCCAGCCCCGAATCCCCCGCAGGGGGATGGGCCATCCAACGCCACCGGAGGCCATGAGAAATGCCCACAAATCGTTTGACCAGGTGTGAGTGAACAGCGCAAGCCTTCCCCTCATCGCCCCGTCAATGGGGGCGAACCGCAAAAAGACCGGCGCCCCTTACGAGACCCAGAACCTCGCACAGAGCGAACACCGCTCCGACCAGACGAAGATGGGTCCGAAGGAAGAGCCGAACCTGACACCAGTGGCCTACCCCGACGAGAGGAACCCATAGCCTTGGCACAACCCTTACGGGAGGGCCCACCACAGGACCCCCAGAGAACCAGCAAGTCTGACATAGGACGGCAAGAAGCCGAAGCAGCCTGAATATACTGTGCAACGACAGAAGCTTCAAACAAGAGAAGGCAAAAAGGGGAAGACATCTTAAGAGCCAAGGCCCAAGCGGATTCCCAGAGGAGGCAAGTACCATCTGCCAACACGTGAGCCAGGAGGCATAAAATAGAGCCACCGCATCCCGCAAGATCGGGGCGAAAAGCTTCAGCAAGGCAGCCAACGAGCGAGCCGCCGAGGCCAAGGCGCCAGACCCAGGAACAGCCCCAAGTGCCCCCACATCCTCCGTGAGCCAGTCAGAAGACAGCTCCAGGAGAGAAAAGAAGCACAAGGCCGCAACCAAAAGGCGTCGAGTGCGCAAGTCCTCCGGACCTGAGCCACTGAAAGGGAGGGAACCTGCACATGGAGCTGAATGATATTAACATTCCGGGGAAGGGCAGGAGCAAACAAGCACTCATTGAGGTGCTCAAGGTCACCCCCCCCCCCCCCAGGAAAACCTGAAGCACAGTCGAAGCCTCCCGTCACTCAAGCGTGCGGTAATGGCAGAAGGAGTGCCAAGCCTCCAAGGCAAAGACAGGACAGTCCGCCAGCCAGGATGACTCCGGAACCTCGTAGCCAGAAAGGGAACGAAGTCCCAAACTTGAAAGCCGAGGGATCCATTGCCGAGGCATAATCCGGGTCACGTAGGTGATTTGCCACAAGGGCCGCCCGCACCGCAGCAGGTTGGAAGCGATAAGCCGAAAACCTCCGGAAGCACCCAGATCCGACGGATCCGAAGCGCCCAGGGAACACTGAACCGAACCAGGAGAGGGGCAGACACCAAATCCAACTCTTACGCAGAGGTAGGAAAAGAAAACCCCACTCCTTTTAACAGTAAGCCCCGCTCAGAGGGTAGAAAAACGCAGGCAGGGTCCAGCAGGGCCAAAGGCCCCCAAGTCAGCCCCTCCCCAGCCCCAGGGTCCTCTCCAGCAGGACCTGGGGACGAGTCCTCTTCCCAAGCACTGGCCCCCACTAGACAAGACTCGTGCAGCCGTAGAAGCCGGATAGAATGAGGCCCACTGGTCAGACCCAAAGGCTTTGGCTGGGGGAGGAGACTCGAATGCCTCCGTCGCCAAACCAGAAGGGGCATTCCCTGAGGCTGCCGGAGTTTCAAGACCAACTAACCCCTGCACTGACTCCGAAACCCTCAGACGTTTCGGGGCCGGAAGAAGGGGGAGGGGGACCAGAATGAACAAAAGGAGGGGAAGGATCAGGAGGTGCGGACTGAACCAGGGTCAAATCGACCCCCACCCCACAAGTCCGGGTCCCTATGAGCAAAACAGGGCAGCCACAGGGCATCCGGGTGAGCAACCAACCTAGCGCGTTGCAACAACCAAAACCGCGAATGCAATGCCTGTGCAGCCTGTACCCGAAGATGATCATCCATAGATTGGGTAAACTGAGTCACCAGCAAGCAACAATACTCACAGGACTCGGGGTCGAAAGTGTCACCGACCCAACAGGCTGCATGATGGAGGCAAAAACAGTGAGGGTCGCCCTGAGACAAGGGGACCGAACAACCCACAAACTCGCACGAAGCGAGGG